TAAAGTCCACTCTACTCCTCACACTTGGAATTGACCTCAACTAGTTACATCAAGGGGAAACTGCCTTGTCTGTGCTAAGAGATGTAAAAACATACCTCTTTGTGTAGTGGAGATGTTTTTGCCTTATCTATTATATGCCACACTGCAGTGTTCTTGGCAGGAGCAGATGATATATTTGGACAGCAATCTCAACTGTACATCTGAAGCAGCCTGCTTCAGTCAGAAACATTGCCTAAATATATGTATTCATCCAATGAAGAGGATCTAATGATATACTCACTCTGCACTGCCTAAAGTACATTGTCTCCTGTAATTGATTCATTCTTTTCAGTTTTCATTGGCAGCAGGTTTACAATTAATAGTGGTTAAATGAGAATATATTTATATTTGGCACACTTACCCCATAAATTTCGAATGCTTCACCACACTTGTGGCATCATTTGCCCATTACAAGTAGGAAAAATTGAGGAGAAAACATTGACTTGCCTGGCATGTCACAGCCAAGATTTGAAAGCAACTGTCCTGACTCTCATCCCTACTTTTGGGTTTGTTAATCACATCTCCTCTCCCAGTGTTCAATTCCCAGAGCAGGTGAAAGAGACGCAAGTCCCACTGGTGACTGCAGCTCCCTGGGCAGACCTTATTGTTCTGGGGCTAGTGGTTCTCATTTGAAGGATTAGGGTTGTAAGCCCTGCCTGGGAACAAGACTGCATTTTGCCAGTACACCGGTCTTCTCTTTTGTGCACACTTCATCATGACAAACTGGATATCCACATCCCTGAAGAAGATGCTCTATATAAGCTATGGAAGTCTATAAGGGCAGGACTGTGTTTCTTGGGTCAAGTTAACTTTGCACCTCCTCTGTGTGAGAAATTTCCTAACTCAGGATAGAGGGCTGCTGTACGTACCAAAGGCCCTTACAGTCTGCTCCAACTATTCTTGGCTACCAGGGTGTAGGAACACTCCTGCCAGGAAACCTCCCTTCCCTGACACTTCTTGAATAGGGGCTCCTGTCAGAGACTGTATAAAGTACTTACACCTCCTGGCTGCCCCCTTGCATCCTAAGGGTATCTTAGCATTGCACTATGGTTCCTTTATGCTGGCTATGGCACTAAAGACACCCTGGGACACACAGAAATGTGGGACACTTGTCTTTTGCCACTTGAAGGCAACAATAAAAAGGCCATTGCTTCAGTGAGGCCTCAGTACTTGTGCTGCTGTTGCCATGAGGAAGCAGAAGGGAGGGAGTCATGGGGTTATTGCACAGGACCAGAATATCTGGATTCCGGTCTATGTCATTTCCTTCCAGTGTCACACTGTGCAAGTCACTTAATTCTGATGCAAAATGGGATAATACTTTCCTATTTCACAGGGCTGTAATGAGGCTTAATTCATTATTGTCTAGTAATTTGAGATAATATGGCACTAAAGCAGTGAGGGCTGTGACTAGGAATTCTTACACTGTTGCTGAGATGTCATGACGTTATTTATTTCTTGTGAATTAGCACCTACGATCCCCAGTCATGGGCAGAATAGAGATGTTCACTAACCCTAGGGATAGGCTCCGGAAATATTCTCCCCCCCTCTCTCTGTCTCTCTCCAGGAGTAAAAATAACCTGCCAGAGCAGCATAGCATTAGATGAGAGCACAGATCAAGGAATTTTGGTAGGGGGCAATAGATGCTGAGTTCCCCTTTCTTGGTTGATTATCATGTTTCACTAGGTTTTGTGTCTGAGACCCCTACCTCACCTAGGAGTGGAGGATGTCCTACACAACCTGCCTAAAGCCAGGTATCAGCAGCCGCTCTGCACATACAACTCCATTATATTACTGTTTTTGTTAGGCCCTCTCATGGCCAATTCTGGTGTCAACACAAGACAAGCTGCAAGGTGCACAGGCTTGTCTTCTCTGCTGAAAGAAAAAAAGAGACATGTTCTTTTTTGAGGTCACTAACACAAGTCTCCCGTCTTGAGATAACAACTGCAGCAAAAACAAGACAGGCCCAGGCAGGGGGTCTACAGCTGACCTTGCTGAGTTTACTTTGTGGTAGAACTCAGATAGGGGAAGAGCATTAGCTACCCCAAAACAGAACACACGGCTTTTTTTAGCAGCAACAACAAGCCTTGGGACCCTTTCCAAGAGAAGGAGTTAATGTGTTAGGTATCTTGGTGCAGGAGGATGGTGATGAAAATAACCCAGCTGAAGCGTTCCAGTTACCACAAATAGCTGTGTTTATGCAAACCCCCAAACTGATGATTATATGCGCGCGCACACTGTCCAGGATCCCTGACCTAGCGAGCTGACAGTGTACACTTGGACATAAACCCACAAGCAGAAGAGAAACATAGTCCTGTGGGGCTGAATTTAGCCCAGCGATTGGGTATCCAACACCCCACATTATTATTTGCAGTGCTGCCACACCTATGAGCCCTATTCATTGACCAGGATACTATTGGGCTGAACCAAAAAGCAGTTTCTACCTTTCTACAAAAGCAAGCCATGGAAATAAAAGCAGGAATAACACCAGAGCAAACAGTGTGCCCTTGTTGCAACGAAGGCTAATGGAATACTGAGCTGCAATAGTAGAATTGTTGCCAGCAGAACAAGGGGAGGGATTATTCCTCTGTATTTGGCACTGGTGAGGCCACATCTGGAGTACTGTGCCCAGTTTTGGGCCCCCCGCTACAGAAAGGATGTAGACAAATTGGAGAGAGACCAAGGGAGGACAATGAAAATGGTTAAGGGGCTATGGCATATGATTTATGAGGAGAGGTTGAGGGAACTGGGCTTATTTAGTCTAGAGAAGAGAAGACTGAGAAGGGATTAAATAACAGTTTTCAACTACCTGTAGGGGGTTCCAAAGAGGATGGAGCTGGACTGTTCTCAGTGGTGGCAGATGAGAGAAGAAGGAGCAATGGTTTCAAGTTGCAGCAAGAGAAATTTAGGTTACATCTTAAGGGAAAAGTTTCTCCTAGGAGGGCAGTAAAACACTGGAACAGGCTACCCAGAGAGGTTTTGAAATCTCTGTCCTTGGAGGTTTTTAAGACCTGGCTAAACAAAGCCTTGGCTGGGATGATCTAGTTGGGGATGGTTCTGCTTTGAGCAAGGGGTTGGACTAGGTGACCTCCTGATGTCCCTGCCAACCACTATTTTCTATGATTCTAAGATTCAAAGGACCATAATCTACAGGTTTGTTTACACACATGCACATGGCCTCCATTTCACAAACAGCAAATTAATTCCAGTTAATTAATAACAGTTGGCTGAAGCCCTATGGCCGGCTTCCTGAGGATGCCTCTGTCTGTTTTAAGACTAGTTTTATTGGTTTAGCTTGCAAATATAAATTGGTTTACCTGTGCAAAGTAAGCCACTCTAAATGTAAGTAGGTTAAATGTCCATGCACACAGTAGCACCCATTTAACTCAACTGGCATAGGTAAATAGGTAAAGTACTATGTACATCTCCACTGCAAAGTTAATTTGAGTGCCATGTGCTCTGCTCATTGCTCTTAAGGAAGCCTGCCATGAGCAATAATTGCCATGCTATACCATAATTTGGTGCTGCATTTACTCGTGTGCATGCTGAGTTTTCTGGGGATGTCTCTCATAGCTCTTTGGGTTGCTAGAAGTTGAGCTGCTTTATACGTTCCAGTAAAATGCAGGAGAATTTGTCTTTCTGGGTATCAAGGGAAGGAGTGGGGTAGGAAGACATCAGATGATTAGTACTACTAGGATGGAGATAGCCTTTGCCCATGTTACAAAATGGTCATCTGCAGCTAAGAGTTCTTGCTGGGGCTGCAGTCTATGCCCTTAAGGGAACAGACAGCTCAAGTTAAAAGCATGTCCACATTCAAGTCAGGGGTGCTTACCAACAGAAAGGGCTTGAGACAGGGTTAACACATGAGTTGTAATGTAATGTAGGGTTCACAACAAAGACAAACCCATGGAGAGTACAACCTAGATACCATTGCACCAACTTAACCATGTCAGTTCAAAACTGATCCAGCATATACCAGTCTTGGGGCATGTTTACACGTGATGCCATGTCATTGTAGCAACACTCTTTGGTAACGTAGTGTCCATGGGCATCTACAGGTGACCAGCAGCTACTTCGCCATAGTGATGCACTCCCCCAGGATAGTGCGCTGCTATGGCAAAGCAACTGCTAAAAATTACCATGTGCCATGCATGCAGCATGGTATGGGCCGTAACTGCACCGTGATTTAGTACAAAAGGAAGTACTAAATCACGGCGCAGTACCAATGTTGCCATAGTGACATGTATAGACTCGCCCTTAATGTAGTGAAGTTAAGCTAAAGAGCCTTAAGGATCATTTTAACTACTTTCAATCGTCTTTGTTTCACAGTACAAGTTTTCTACCATGGACCAACTGATATAGTGAGCTCAAGTTCCTTAAACTGCATCATGCATACTAGTTGACTCACCTCATGGGTGTTTGAGACGTGGGAAGTTGACAATTAGTGGGTACAAGAAGTGGTATAAACAACAGCATAGCAAGTGCGTTCCAGTTCCCGAAACCAAAACTAGTTCTGTTTACAAGCCATCTCCACACTTACAGCCAAAACAGGAAGACTGATCACATGGTGAAAAAAAGAACTAGCAAGACAGAACCTTCTGCACTGTGTTTGTCTTGGGAAAATGCACAAGTGACATGGCCAGGAGTTGCAAGTCAAAGCTCTCCAGCTGTTAAGTGATACCGTGTGTTTATATAACACTTTTCACCTGCAAACCTCAAAGAACACTAAGATGGTGGACTGATTTACACATAAAGCTGGTAAGGAAGATAGCAACATCCCCAGTGTGCATCTGAGTAAACAGGTACAGGGTAGGTGATGTGCCAAAGGCCAGGCAGCAAGTCAGTAAAACAGGTTCCTGAATTCTGGGGGGGCAATGGATTAATGAATGACCTAGACTCAGCAATTTCTCATCAAACATTTAATTGAAAAGAGGATGAGCCACTGTGAACCATGGAACACTTACCATGGCCTTGTGGACCGCAGTTTGGGACCAGTGCACCGTCAGGTCTAGAAATGAAGTGGCTGACAGACTGTTAAGGAAGGTTTAGAGAAAACAGACTTATCTCTTTGGTTCCATGTCAACCAATTGAGGGAGTGCCACAGTCTGCTGGATAAAGCACTTGACTAGGAATCAGGAGACAGATGAGTCTTATTCCTGGCTTAGCCATCCCCTTGAAGTGCAGCCTCCCTGTGCCTCAGTGTTGTCATATGTAAATTGGGTCAAAGTATGCCTGCTTTTTGTAGCACTGTGAGATCTATAAATGAAAAGCACCATACAGGAACTTAGTCTGATCATTAAGTTTTATGATGTAATAGCCTGGACTAATGACTGCCTCCCTAGATTGTCATGAAACCCTATACAAGATTCCAGCTGCATGGAGGGAAGGCTAGTGCCCCAAGCTTCACTAACTTCCAAAAAGAAGAGTCATGGAGGAGCCAGTTCAGTGACTTTGGCTGTCTCTTGGTTAGAGAAGAGCCCAAACCCAGAGCTCTGGATCCAAGCATGCCTTACCATTTGTGAAAGCTCAGCTTAGGTCTGGGTTCTGAACTGTACCACCTGGTTTTCCCCTCTGCTTTTTAAATGCCTGCCTCTGATTTCAATCAAATTATCTGGCAAGCAAATCAGTCCTTAAGAAACAGATGATCAAATCAGCAAGGCAAAATTAAATTTAAAATTAACAAGATTTCTTGGAAACAATGTTGAAAGGCAGCACTCTGAACATGGTTCCAAACAGCAGGCTTATTTACTAGACCAGTGAAACTGCAAAATCTTAACTCCTTTGCACCTTCCATCGCCGTGGATTAAATTAATAACTTCACTTTGTTGATATGTGAATTTACTGTTTAGAGTGTTACATGCTGTGTTGCATCTCATTCTGGGCTTCAGTCACATAAGGTCTGATCCAAATTTCACTGATATCAGGTGGAATTGTTAAACAGTCTTCAGGGGGCACTGAATCAGACCTGTAGTCAAGGCTGTTGTTACAGTGCCTACAAAGTTGATTAAATGTATTACTAACTGAGTGGAATGTATCCAATAAACTAGAGCCTAAGAAAAATGCTAATGCTTGGCCAGAGGAAGCGCTAGATGCCTGATCCCAAGAATCATTCTCTCAGTGAAAGAAATAGGGGTGTTCAGC